TAAAAAAATTCTATTAATTCCAATAATCCATCGTAATTCTTTTTTGAGATTAATTCCTATAATTCCAAATTAGTTCCTGTAATTCCAAATTAATTTCCGTAATTCCAAAATAATTCCTGTAATTCCAAATTAAATAATTGTTGCGTAGGGCGCTTAAGTACAACTACGTTATCAATATGATACTCCAAGTAACTCTGATAATTCCAAAAAGAATTCCAGTAATTCCAAACAATACAAAGATAATCTTAATAATTCCAAACTTCCAAATAATTCCAAGCAATTTCCGATTAAATTTCATAAAATATTACAACTAATTCCAGAGTGAACGGCCCCTCTGAAATTATTAACCAATAATAACCTTTGATTACAGATCGCTTTCATCATCTTGGGAAGTGTCATTCTTATAATTTTCCTGAATCCGTGGATGTTGATCCCCACAATAGCGATTTTTCCCTTGTTTTACTTCTTTAAAGTTTGGTTTCTGACCCGGAGTCGCAATTTGAAACGATTGGAAGCTTCAGCTCGCACTCCAATTTACACCCACGTTCGTGAAACCCTCAAAGGTTTGACTGTGATTCGCACATTTAGTGCCCAAATCACAACGAAGAATCAATTTAATTGCTACCAAGATTTACACAGTTCTGCGTTTTACACTTTTATGACTTGTAATCGCGCATTTGGGTTTTGGTTGGACTTGATTTGTGTGTTTTACACAATTGGGGTGATAGTCAGCATCATGTTGATGGGTAATTACAAAAAAATCATAATTTTGGTGTTGGAAAATCGTTTTTGTAGAGACACAAGCCGGAAATGTTGGGTTAAGTATCACACAGTCGATAAATCTAGTTGGGGTCCTGCAATGGGGTATCAAACAGTGGAGCGAACTAGAAAACCAGATGATCAACGTTGAGCGTGTTTCTGAATACACTGAAATCGTCCCTGAGACAGACTTGGGGAAAAAACCAACAGTGTGGCCAACTGATGGCCAAATCCAGTTCCAATCTGTCTCGATGCGTTACCCCCAAAACGGCCGCTTGACTCTCAACAACGTCAATTTCACTGTTGAACCTGAGGAGAAAATCGGGATAATCGGGAGAACCGGTGCTGGAAAATCGTCCCTTGTTTCCACCCTCTTCCGTTTGTACCCCTTTGACGGGAAAATTCTCGTCGATGGAGTCAACACCAACGAAATACCACTCCACACTCTTCGTTCAAAAATTTCGATCATTCCTCAAGAACCGATCCTTTTCACGGGAACGCTGAGAGTGAACCTTGACCCCTTTGGTGAATTCGATGATGCGGTTTTGTGGAAGGTTTTGGAACAAGTGAAACTGAAAAATGTTGTTTCAAACTTGTCTGTTCAAGTCCAAGAAGGAGGATCGAATTTCAGTGTTGGCCAAAAGCAGCTGATTTGTTTAGGAAGGGCGATTTTGAGAAGGAACAGGATTCTTGTTTTGGATGAAGCCACTGCAAATGTCGATTTTGAAACGGATCAGTTCATACAAGAAACGGTGCGAAATCTGTTCAAAAATTGTACGGTTTTAACAGTGGCTCATAGGATTAATACGGTCATGGATTCGGATAAAATTATGGTCGTGGATGATGGTAAATTGGTGGAGTTTGATACGCCCAGGAATTTGTTACGGAATTCTGATAGCTTGTTCAGGCAAGTGGTGAATGAATGTGAGAAAAGTTTAGGTAAATCGAAACTCTAAACAATCCTCAAGTGTAAATTTCCACACCGATTCACGGAAATAAAGACCTTTTATATTTTTTAAGTCAATGATACTTTCTTTTACCTTCTTTTTCTGTGTTTTTTTTTTGTATTTTATTTTTTACTACCATTGGTTTGTTGTGGTTGTTTTTATACTTTTTCCTGGATATTTGACTGTTTTAACTTTTTTTTATGACATTGAAATTTATATACAGGCTGTTCCGTCTAAACCCCACTTTAGAAGTATTGGGAGTTGGAATAATTGTATTTATTTGAAAATTGGTACATAACCATCAACCAATAAGTCCTCCTAAATGAAAATATTTTCAAGATGGCGGCACTTCCGGTTATACCGGAAGTCGGTCTTAACTTTCTTATTTTAAATGGAAAGGTATATTTTTTACTTAGTTTTTGGATTAATCGGGTTATTTTAAAGGAGTTTTCCTCAGCTTTCCCTATACCTAAATTTTGTCGTTTTTGAAATATTTGGAGTTTTTCAAAAATTTTTGGATTTGCACCTTCCACTTTAAAAACCGGTAACTCTGCCATTTTTTAACATTTTAAATTCATTTTTTTGGCGTTTAAAAGAGAAAGCTTATATCCTTTTTCTGGTGTTTTCAAATTTTGGAAAAAAAATAACATATCCCTAAATTTTAAGATTACTTTTGTAATAATCCAAATACTCATAACTCAATTTTTTCAAATGAAATACCCCAATTTTTATTTTACTAAATAGAAGAAAATTTAATTGTGCATTGATCTGTATTAACATTCTCTATACCTAAATTTAATAATTTTCAAGTTATGGACTTTTTTTTAATACTACAGAAAATTTATTACTAGACATACCCGTTTTCACATAATTTGCTATGGAAATCAAAAATGTCAAAATTGTTTCTCAGTAAACGTCGACAGTGTCTTATTATTTGCCAAATAGTGCCAACATATGGAGAATCAAAGTTATGCAAACTTAATTATTATTGATAGGTTCTACCATGCAATCATTATTTAAAGCTAACAAGTGAGAAAAACTTATTTTTGTTTAATGAACGATATCATAATTTTGTTACACTCTCCATAAATACAAAATAAATTAATTAAATCTAAGTTTGAGTAGCTTTGACTCTCCATATTTTGGCACTATTTGACAAATAATAAGCCACTGTCGACATTTATTGAGAAACAATTTTGACATTTTTTATTTCCATAGCAAACTATACGAAAACGAATGTGGCTAATAACAGATTTTCGGCAGTCTCAACAAAAAGTCACCATAACTTAAAAATTATTAAATTTAGGTATAGGGAATGTTAATACAGATCGATGCAGAATTAAATTCTCCTCCATTTAGTAAAATAAAAATTGGAGTATTTCATTTGAAAAAATTGAGTTATGGGTATTTGAATTATTACAAAAGTAACCTTAAAATTTATGGTTTGTTAATTTTTTTTCTAAATTTGAAAATACCGGAAGAAAGATCTAGACTTTCTCTTTCAAACGCCAAAAAATCGAATTTAAAATTTTAAAAAATAGCAGAGTTACCGATTTTTAAAGTGGAAGGTGCAGATCCAAAAATTTTTGAAAAACTCCAAATATTTCAAAAATGGCTAAATTTAGGTATAGGGAAAGCTGATAAAAACTCCCTTAAAATAACCCGGTTAATCCAAAAACACAGTATAAAATATACCTTTCTATATAAAATAAGAAAGTTGAGACCGACTTCCGGTATAACCGGAAGTGCCGCCATCTTGAAAATATTTTCATTTAGGAGGACTTAATGGTTTATGGCTATGTACCAATTTTCAAATAAATACAATTATTCCAACTCCGAATACTTCTAAAGTGGGATTTAGACGGAACACCCTGTATATATTGTCGTTTTATAATATGTCTAAATATTTTTTCTGTTGTTTGTGTCTTGTTATTTTCTTTGTATTTTGTATATTTTGTTTTCGCTTTTCTTCTAAATTTCGTACACCAAACTTCATTTTTTGCTTTGATTTTCTCATAATTTTCCCTGATTTGCCAACAAATGAACAAAAAAACCTAAATTGGGTATGTGCATTTTTAAATGAGTTTTCCTAATTTCCGGTTTTCATAATTTTCCATGATTTTCTTTGATATTCTTTGATATTATTTTCCCTGATTTACTCATGATTTCCCCGAATTTTGATCAAGAAAACTACTTGATGAGCGCACTTTTTAAGGATTCCTCTTGATTTTTCATTATTTCCTATCATTTCCTCAATTTATTCATGATTTTTCTAATTTACCTTGATTTCCTCATAATTTCCTATAATTTTCTCATGATTTCCTCTGATTCTCTCTCATTTTAATCAATTTTACCCTGATTTCCCTTAATTTTCCAACAAAGAAAGAAAAAACTACTATGAGCTTTTTCCAATGAATTTCTTTATTTTCCTCATAATTTTTTCTGATTTTCCCAATTTTGTACACCCATTTTACCCCCCGATCCAGTCTAGGTTTTTTGTGTGTATCTGGGCTCTTGTAGGTAGGTAGAGGACAGGGAATCGTAGAAGGATATCGATGGAAGGGATGCACTGCAGAGACGAAAACTGGTCGCGGACAAATCCATTCGTAAATATAGGGGAGTTCTGAGATCAGCTGAGATCAGTGGCGTGTATTCGCACTTATTTATTTGAAGTTTTGGATTATTTGATCTATGGTCCCGAATTTTTTTTTATATCTTTCAAACAAAAATTAAACAAAATTATAGAATGCAGATAATACTATAATTTGACAAATGAAAAACCAGAAATTGTTTGAAGTAAGAGTAGATAATATAAAAGTATTCTTTAATATAAATTTTGTTACAAAAGTCATTGATTGGTCGCCAAGAATTTGAGGGTTCATCTTCTTACATCTTATCGACTAGGTATGGTGTATGGAAACAAAACATCGCTAAAAAATGCATCTTACAAATGTTAAATTTGAAAAATTAATTAACATTAATTGTGATACAAAAATTGTATTTTAATACACTATTCCAAAAAATTATAGGAACAAAAAATTTTCCCAATTTTTTTGGTGATTTTTGAAAGCCTGTAACTCATCGAAAAATGGTCGTATCTAGATTTAAAAAAACCATTTTGAAGCTTTAAGTCTCTGGTTTTGAGATCTTTTGTCGAAAATTTTTTCTGAGCTATGGTTATCACGCAATTCCAAGTAATAGCGCAAAAAAAATCTAAATTTTTATGGTTTTGTTTTTGGTCCACGGACGTGGAGAATTTTTTTTTTTTAGTTTAGTCAATTTATAGGCCGAATAGCATGTTTGTTCAGCTTTAATATCCTTTCTTCATATTCTCTGTACGACAATTTGTCGCTGAGATATCTGACTTTGTCTTTGATCATCGATATCTCAGCAACCAATGACTACACAGAGAATATAAGGGTAGTGTCAAAAACTGGAATAAATGTCTTATTAGATCCTTTTAACATTGATTTAAAGAAAAGAGAAAAAAGTAACTTTGTTTACCTAGTCGATAGTCGCAAAATTATTGCGCAAATGATGAGCACTCAACAAAAAGTAGTCAGCAATATAAAGGTTAATAAATATACGGAAAAAATGCAACTCTACAATCCCCTTTTCACCACAGAATGGTTCTGTGTTACGCCACTGCTCAAGTTTGGCTCCGCCTATCGATATCCTTCTAGGATTCCCTGACCTTTATATTGAGAAAGATGTGGTAAAAAGAGGCAACAAAATACTATTTATAACGAAGGATAAAGTAATAAGACTAAAAATTAATACAATACGAACCAAATAATATTAAACTCCTCACTATCCACACAAAAATGATAAAAAACCGATTGTTTATCTTAAGAAACCAAAGCACTGCGCAATTGCGCAGGGCGCAGCACATTGTCGGTGGTAGTGATCAGGTGTTTATTAAATATCTTCAACAATGATTAATAAAGCAAACAGCATTTATCGTTTCCTTGAATAAAAAACTTAAACGAAAATGATGCATAGTGTTTTTCATTAAAAAAATTTCTATCTATACACCCACCGGTGATGAATAACGTAAGGTTAGGATACCTTTTAACAATAACTGTTATGACTTTCATTGCAATCATTTACCAAATTCAAATTGTCCGACTTCAAGATAAAATCTTCCACCTTGGTATGTGTATGTATTTTCGCTGATTTCTTTTTCGCACTCACTGTATTTTTTACAGAGAATAATGCAAATCAAAACGAACGTAAACAAAACAGTAGAGAAGTATTAGGAAACGACGATTTGGTCGTTGTATACAATAGAGTACCAAAGACTGGTTCCACAAGTTTCATAGGTGTTGCCTACGATTTATGTAAAAAGAATAAATTCCATGTTTTACATGTAAACATAACTGCCAATAATCACGTATTATCGCTAAACAATCAACACGATTTCGTTCATAACGTCACCAATTGGAACGTAATGAAACCGGGGATCTACCATGGACACTTTGCCTTCATAGACTTTACAAAATTCGGGGGCCCTAAGCCCCTATTCATCAACATTCTTCGCAAACCCCTAGAAAGGTTCATCTCCTATTACTACTTCGTCAGGTATGGGGACAACTACAGGCCTTATTTGGTACGCCGCAAACACGGAAATACCATGGTAAAACCATCAATAATTCCATAATAATTGCAATAAAAGATTCAATTGTAGTCGTTTGACGAATGTGTTGAAAAAAACCTCCCAGACTGCGACCCCACCCACATGTGGCTGCAAATCCCCTTCTTGTGTGGCCACGCCGCGAATTGCTGGAAGCCCGGCAACAAGTGGGCTTTAAGTGAAGCCAAGAAGAATTTAGTCAATAATTATCTACTAGTAGGAGTGACGGACGAAATCAATGACTTTGTTGCCATTCTAGAGCAAACACTTCCTCGAATATTTAAAGGCGCTTTCAATCATTACTTAACTAGCAATAAGTCGCATCTGAGGCAAACTGTGCAAAAGGATGCCCCCTCGCCAAACACAATTAAGAAAATCCAGGAAAGTACAGTGTGGCAAATGGAAAACGAACTCTACGAGTTTGCCCTGGACCAATTCCACTTCATCAAGAAACACACACTCAAAGACAAGTTGCAGAATGTCATGTACGAGAAAATTAGGCCCAAAATCAACTGACTTACTTATTTTTCTAAAATTTATCTGAAGTACTTATTTGTAATAAATAAAAGTTTAAACTGACCGCTTTTGCGCAGGCGCCATGTTGATACCACTGTCATATTATTAATAAAAACCTGCCATCTGGCAGAAAATAATAGAATTAATGCCTTACAGAGCTCTGTAATAACGAATAACGCGTTTTTTTACTATTGAGCATTTTTAATAAACAGAAGACAGTGTTCATATGGTCTATAAACATCCCTCAAAAATACGCTGAAACATCGGCTTACTCGTTAAAAAAAAACGGATTTACTATAAAAAAAAGTTTTTTTGCGTTGTACAGTTGGAGACAAAATACTTTGGTCGTCAATGTCATTTGAGTGACATTAAATTGTAAAGCATGCTTTAGGACTGTTATCCTTATTTTTAGCTAGTGTCAATCATAGTTGACAAGTTGTATGTACATATTTTTGATAGGAAAATATAATAGCTGTCATTAATTTGAAATTGTCATTCATTTTAACATTAAAGCTTGAATTACATTAAAGTGTCAGAAAAGTGACGACCAAAGTATTATGTCTCCAACTGTAGAAATTGTTCTTATTCTGATTAACCATCAATACTTTTAATTTTTAGCTGAGTTTTGTTTGTTTGCATATCTAACTAAATACTATAACTGGCGGACACGAAATTTTGGACATCAAATTTATGTCAGTTAAAAAAAAATGCAATGTAAGCCACGCTTTATTGTCATTATGATTGAAATTAGAAATTAAAGTTTGATAGTTTTAGTTGAATTTTATTCTTGGCGTTGATTTTTCAAAACAATAATATGTGTTTTTATGTAAGTTCAATCAATTATTTTGATGTGTTGTCATTTTTTCTCTAGCTTTTAGTATAAAAATTACAAAAACCGGAAGTGAGGTTTTACATTTTTATGTCAGTCGAATGACAAATCGTCCAAAATTCCGTGTCCGCCAGTGTAGGCATCATTATATGCTTGTTGAGTAATATACTATTAGTACATTTTTTTAAACAAAAGACTGCGTTTGCAAAAATTCGGAATTCCAAGAATAATAAAAGAAGGTAGTCTTACACGACTAATTTTCAGTAACTTATTAATTAAAATACTTAGTACCATTACTGTTATGTAATGAACTTTGAGCGCCGTTCGGAGACAAAGAAAATTCTGGACGCTTTGAAAATACACATTTTGTTTTTATTCCTAAATAGACCAACAGAAAAGTCGCATACAAAAATATAAAAAATTCTTTCACTGAGGTACACTTAAGTGCAAAAAAAACGCAAATTGTCAAAACCAAAATTGTCAAATTTACATAGTGTGAAAAAGATAGTTCCCAAAAAGGTTAGAAAACTATCAAAAGAAATGTCGTCTAGCTAATGCAGTGTCACAGTCAGTGTTAAAAATAAAATGGAAAACATGAAAAAATTGTGTTTTTTTTGCACTCAAGTGTACCATTTTTAAAGATCCAAAACGTGGTGAGGTAAGTTAATTGCAGTCTGGAAAACTCAACTTAAAACCACCAAACCTACCCCAACACCCTCAGCATGTAATTTTTTATGTTCATGTATTGTTTGGAGTATTTACTCATGGTAAATTGAGTTTATTTAGTCAAAGTTAAAATTGACCGCCTTTGAGCATGCGCATGCTTGCCACCTGTCACGGGACCTGTCATATGATTCTGACATTTTCCTGGTGTGGTTAGTGTGTCATATGATTTAAGTTTGAAAAAATCGCCCGTTTTGCGATAAATCTGTCGAAAAATGATCACTCCGTTAGTTTGTGTGGCATTTTTGGCCGCTTCTGGTAAGAAATCGTGCAATGATTAAGTTAATTTTAAACTGGAAATTGTAGTTTCCGCAAATGGTGAATTAACGATTCTTCACCACCCTTCAAGTCTCCTCTTCAAAGGGCACGACCACGTCAGAGAGAGCATTTTAAAGGAGGTTTACTCTAGTGCATTGGGATTTTCAACTGAGCAGTACTCAAACTGGGATGGTTTATTCATCGAAGATCCTTTCAATTTGGCCAAAGCTGTTGTGACCGTCAGTGTCGACGGTATAACAGACATAGGCAATGGCAAAGGGCACAATTTCCCCCTCAAAACGAACGTCGACGAGTTTGAAGTCTTCTCAGCCTTGGAAAAGAGAGTTTTGGAGAGGTATCCTGAAACTGAGGGCCACCTAATTAGGATTAGTGCCGGGGATGGTCTCCATCAAATCCACAAGCATAAAATTTTCAAAAATCTCGAACTCAACAAGTCGAAGAAAATCCACAATTATCTCAAATCAAGTGTGGAGGAGGACCAAGCGTTTTTGAACGAAATGAGAGTCTTGAACAGTATCGCAGACGAAGTAACTTCAATAATCATAACTAAGAAATGTTGATTGATTTTTTCAGGTTGACAACACTGGAATTAAGCAAGATGGCACCCCTGATGTGTTTTGGTTTAAAATTGAAAGTTTGCACCCTTTGATTGACTTGTACGGCGAGAATTCAACCAAAGTTAAAGAAGCCAAACAACTGTTAAATGATGCAATCCTTCATTTAAATTCTGTTTTTACTAAAGTCTACAAGGACAAAGTTTTGGTCAGTGTTATAACAAGTGATGTTGTGCACACTAGACGTGCTAGAAACATTTTGCAAGAGAATAAACCCGACACTAAGGACACTGAAACGCTCAAAGTATAGTTCATTTAGTGACTTATTTTTTTTTAATTATTTTTTTATAGGTCAACCCTGCCAAGTTTTACAGTAAGGATTATCCCGTTATTTTTAATATTATTCTGTGGTTTGGGGTCGCAATGACGTTTACTTTACTTGCTATTTGCATTGCAATTGCTCAAATGGATCCTGGAAGAGACTCAATTATTTACAGGATGACGAGCACTCGTCTCAAGAAGGATAATTGAATGTGTGGAGAATTCATAGTATTATTGTGTGTAAATTCCTGTTAAATTTTCTGTAAATTGTAGTTTAGGTGGTAACTTATGTAATCCTGTGATCTTAAGTTAGAGCACAATAAAGTACTTGGTCACAAATAAACGACAAATCTTAACAATAATTTATTTCAAATTAAAATCACATTGATCTAAATCGACTATTTTACGGTTAATCCTCTAGTATTTTGGCGCAGGTGATTCAAGTTTGGAGTAATCAATGTTGGGAGAGTAGAACTGAAAAATCCCAAGTTAGATAAGTTTTAAAAGTATTGAAAATACCTTATATTGTTTGTTTCTGAATTCTTCGTTGGAGATATCACCAGTGCGGTTCCATTGAACATCGGGGTTGCGTAGGGCAAGACGGGCGGTGTACCCAATAGCCCCCGCACATCCCAAGCCGACACAAACGTACAAGGGGATCAACTGAGGGAAAAAATTGCAAAAAATGTTAATTTATTACGGAAATTGCTTACAGCTTTGTGCTTTTTGAGACTCTGAAATGACATTCCCTGCATGGTTGTTAAATTCTTGGGAAATCTGCAACAAAGTCAAACACTTCACTTCACTGTCAATGACAAAATATTGAATCAAAATACCCGCAGTACTTCCTGTTGACCAATCACGTAAGATCAAACGATAAGAATAGCAAATACCGTTCTTCACGTATTAGACAAGGATACCAATACACGATGTGTTAAAGTTATCGAAATGTTTTGGACTTTAGTATTTTGCGCAATGAATTATGTAATAAAACTGTGAAAAGGGGCATTTGAGTTTGATTTTATTGCAGTAACAAAGTAAAATTACTGCGAAAATTTATAAAATAGACTGGAAAGTAAATAATTCAAGAGTCAGATTATTTGTGTTCGGGTAATAAGGTATGAAAGTAGTTCGTCTGGTCAGTAAAGCGGGAAATTTAAATATATTCACAAAAAAAAAGTTTACGTAAAATATTGTTTTGTAATTAATTAAAAATTAAGAAAAGTGGTTATCTCAAGGCATAGAATGGCGACATAGCACCCAATTTACTATAATTACTTTATTTTTATTAACAAAATGTTGCGTTGGCGACACTGGCGGAAGATTGGTTGCCTAAACCCTCGAAACTAGAAATTCAAGAAAAAAATATTGATTAATTCAGTTGTGTAGGTGATTGTTATGTGGTAGGTCGTTTTCTCATTTTAGTTAACCTAACCTAAAACTTTTTTATTTTGCTTTTAAATTATAAAATTAATCTTTGTTACTACTTACAAATATGTGATTGTTGTGTGTTTCTGTTATATTTTATGGTGTTTGTGTTATTCTAACCATTTTGATGTAAAACCACCAAATAACAACAAAAATGATATGCAGTAGGACCCCCCAAGAATTCTTTTCTGCTGATGTAAGTATAAACAATTTTCTTTTAATTATGAATTAAACTGAACGTTTTACGCATTGTTTCATTTATTTTTGTTGAAAATGTGCGGTGTTTGAGCCGGAAAGTACCGGCTTTTGGTTTTTTAATTTAATCCAGGGGGCCTCTAAAAAATATCAATTTGTAACGGTTTAAAGCACATGGAACAACGTCAAACAAAACTAATTAATTTCCAGATTTGGAACCAGTCAAGCGATGTAAAAATGTCTATTGATTTATTCAAAAGAGGTGGAAGACATTCACCTTTTTGGAATGTGAAATAATCGATTTTTCCTGACTTGGTGCATATGAAATGTGAACGTGTTGAATACAACTTTTTCATACTGATAATAAATAAACAACCTTCTTCTCATTAGTATCAATAACTTTTGTCTATTTTTAGAAAGTTACTTCATAAGAATTATAGGTGCTGTAATATATCATTAAAAATTATCAACAATTACCTGGATAATTACTGCGAGTTTTTTTTTTTGAAAAGAGGCTAATTACAAGACAGGGTAGGAGGTGTTAAATACAATATTTAATTCACCTTATCTAGCTGTTGAAATATAAATAAATATTTTGATTTGATTGAAGATAAACACTTCTTGGGTCACAATGGGTCACCAAAGTAAATATTTGACAATTTACGTTGCTTTTAAAACTATTGTAAAAGTAAATACTATCTTTATTTAATTGACCATTTTTATCCAATTTTCTTTACGTTTGTTACGTGACATGTTGTACTTGTTAAAATTTATTGTCTTTGACACGAACTGTGTAAAATTGGCATATAAAAGTAACATCTTGTCCTTCGTTTCAGTGTTTTGAAACAATTTCTTGATTTGACGCCATTTCCTCTTTCATAAAATAAAATAAAATTGTGTTAAGGTTGATGACTTTATGAGTGCTGGGTGTCAATGGTCCTCTAAATTGGTTTCACAATTTGGAAAACTGCAAATGTTCCAACAATTTTAGTCTTTTGTTGGAAAAAAGTCATAAAACTTGACAATTTGAAGCGTGCAAATTCTTACAGATGTTTTTGTGTAACTGTGAAACAAATTTTGTTTGGAATGGAAATACCGTAAGAAATACAATTTATTTAAAAAAATAATTGCGTGGAGGGGGTTATTAACATAAAATCTTGTATGGTACAGGATATCGTGTTGTGTTATATGGTTTATGTGACATTTATAAACATCCTGTATGCTGTTCATAAGCAGAGGTGTTTAGAATCCAAAACATCTGAGTGAAATTTTATTAATAATCGATAAAAAAGACCCAACTTTTGGGTATTATTTGAGTCATAATATTTTAATAAATGTTGCGGTTTGGCGACCACAATTTCCCTTTTTTGCGAAGAATCGTCGACTGGTTGCAATTTAAAAAATTAAATTCACGAGATCCAGATTTGAGCTAAAAGTTGGCGTATTTACACCTATTTTCAGCAGATTACAAAATTGTAATTAATTTTTTTTTATTCGTAAGTCCTGAATTTCTGCTCAGTATTGTGCTTAAACATTAAAAAAGGCGATAATAACACTATTTTTGAAATAGTGTGAATTGCGTAAATTTTGGGATTGTTTCTAAAGAAATTTTGTGAAATATTTACCTGAAAAACATGTTACACACTTAAGAAAGGCAAAAAGTTACTGGATTTGTTGTTTTTTGGCTTGTTATATTAAAATCTCTTAGTTCAAAACGTTCTTAAAGACTTGAAAAAGGAGAAATTTTGAGTTTTTTTGGCTTATTTTTTGACAAAATTTTACTCAAAAACGAGCTAAATCGAATGAAGCAAACGAAATAGCATTAATTTCGTTTTATTTTTTGTAATTTTTAGGTACACTTTGACAAGATTTTGCAGAATAAATGAGTCTGTGGTTTAAAAAACTCAATGGAGCGAAACAAGCTAAAAATAATACATATCAATTTTAATCTAATTTAGTAATTTTTCAGTCAGTTTTAACAAAACTTGTATTTTACGTGCTTAAACACAAAAAAAATGTAAAAACCACACTAGTTTTGGTCTAATTTGGTAAATTTTTGGTTTGTTTTTAAGGAAATTTTGCAAGATAGTTTTTTTTTTCTGTCAGAAAGAGTACGAAATGCTCCAAAAAGATGAAAATAATGAACTTTTCGACCTGTTTTATCGATTTTTTGACCCTGTTAAGTGAAATCTTATCAAAAAAATATTTCCTTAACAAATTTTGTGATTTTTTGACTTATTCTTGAGAAAATTTGGCAAAATAATGAGTTTATGGCTAAAAAACATAGAAAATGCTTAAAAAATACAAAAAATAGTATCATTTAGTGTATCAATACTTAAAAAAGTTAATTTTGTTTTTTGATGATTTTGGAAAAAAATTATTTTACTAAATTTTTGGGCGATTAAAAAAAATATTTCCAAATACGGGTGTCCCAGCGAGTTGAAAAAGTCTATTAGTGACCTTTAAATGGTAAAATTAAAAAAAAACATATGGGACATTTATAGATACTAATCTAGTCTATCGCCTAAAATTATTTTCAACTATACAGCGTGTCTCAAAAATAAGTTGCAATACAAACTTGTATTTTTTAAAATGAAACATCATAGGTTTCTTAGCAATTTTTGGTGTAGATTTTTATGACAATGTTTTTAAACTAAACTTTTATTGATTTTCTTTAGTTTTAAAAATAAGACGTTTTTTTTGACAAAAACATGAACTTTTTAAAAATTTATTACATAAAAACTAGACATCTAGAAATATTTTTTTACTACCTCAAAGAAGAAGGTAGAAGCTATAAGGTTGCAACATTTTTTTAGTGTGTTGTATTTGCAAAGATAAAAAAATAAAGCCGTTTGTTAAAGGTTCAATAACTTAAAAAAATTAAATGGAACACTCTATTTATTGTTTTTGCATTTAAAAGATTATTAAATTGTCTTTCTAAATTTATTTACTTTTATGTGTTTATAATCAACGTCCTATACAATTTTTTTTTAATTTTACCATTTAAAGGTCACTAATGGACTTTTTTAACTCGCTGGAACACTCTGTATATAAATTTTCAGCTGTTACAGCAGTTTTTGTTATTTCCAAAAAATTATACATTATAATTTTTAGAAGTTTTTACCAAATGCCCAGATATGGTAAAATTTCACCTGGCAACGCTGGTAAATCTACGATTAGCAAAAAAAGAAATCTAACTCGGCCACCATCACTTCTTAAATATCAACCTAATTTCTAAAACTCGTTGCATTAAGGCCGCGCAACCTGTCAGTGCAGTAATTTCTCATTATTCACCGATGATAAAGTACAACATATGGCAAACGACGTGCGATAAATAGCGTTTAAATCACCGCCTAATTACTCAATTGCTGCATATGAATGACGTCACACACGTCATACTCCGGTATTTCCTTACAAGGAGTATACAAGGCGAGGGCCACCACCTCGTGGGTTGCTTAATTTGACGACGTGTTTGCTATAATGGTAGCCTTGCCTTAAGGAACAATCTGTGAATTATTGAGGGTTTTCAAAATGTTTGTCTGACTCATACAACCCGTATACAGACTTAACTAATCTAAAAGAAATCAAATGAATTAATCATTGTGTTGCAATATAGTTTGACCTTTTTTATAATCACTGCATTTGGATTATCGCTATTTGTGCATTAAATACATAGGTTCAAGGGAACACATTTTTTTTTTAGCAATTTTCGAAAGTGACAACGTGAAACTTTAATAAGGAGACAATGACTAATAATTTATTTAATTGAAATTTGATGGTAGAATGGAACTGAAGTTTTAATTGCACACTTTCCAATTAATTTCTTAATTTTTTAATTACGCGACAAACAAGTTGCAAAAAATTAAAAATTGTGTTTTTTATTTTTATGCCCACGATAAGTGAGGCAAAAACCGCTTATACATCCATGGTTTATCTCGGCTGAACCAACGACTACAGGTTAAAGAGGCTGTAGGTGTTAAAACTAGTCGGTTGGCAATTGTTTTGTGAATTTCTTTCGTTTTCACCATTTGAATATCACCGGTTGTGAGTGTATTAAACATTAAATTTATCATGTCGGGTTTTAGTTCTTACCGTTTGACATATAAATATCATGAACCTAAAGTGACCATAAATGGTACTACTGGAAATAGTAGAAATCAGTGGTTTTCCGAAAAAAAGGTAAGATTGGATAAGAGTCATGTGTTTTTCATTCAATAATCACAAAAATAATTTAT